TTAATCATTTGGTACAATGCACTTATTGTGTACATACATGTTTTTACATTGTACTTATATTTTAAAAAAAACCTGCATGTAATTACATCTGTAATTAATTTCTGTAATTACATTTATACTTATACTGTTGACCCATCCCTTACACAAGCAAAATGTGTTTTGCAATACAGTATGAACACAATAAGTGCATTGTACTTATTTTTTGATGTAAGTACATAGTAGTTAAGGCCACTTAATATAAAGTGGGACCAAGTTTTCTAAAGAAAAATACTGATAAAGTATAGACACTTGAAAATGCACGTTTAAAGCAGAGTAAAAATTCTTCACTACTGTCCGCCTCTGGCCAAAATCCAAAACAAAACTGTCCCTAAGATTTAAGATGGGCAAAAAATACCACTGCACAATTTATCTAAATCTGTTACTACTCTTGCATGTTAAAATTGTATTGGTAGCAGCCTACAATATTCTGATCGATTTGACTGATTGAATTAGTTGAATAAATGCAAGGCAACACAGATACATTTTAATAAGTACATTTTTAAGATTGCCCCTTACAAAGGTTTAAAAAATGCCTCTGAAAATCAATCCCAGTGCCACTTATTCTGGTTAAAATACATCAATTTAGACAGGAAGAGAACATCTAATGTAGCCGATATACAGTATAAAGAGACCCACCACAGTTTGTTTGGCACATAATGTTTAAAGGGGAGAAATCTGAAATTAGATATTACTCTAAAAGGAAAGTGTAATATACGTGCGCACAAGAATGTATTTTTTTTTAGGTGAATCTTTTTTTAAAGTTAATTTTTCAAAATCAATCAAATACATAAACGGCTAATGGAACCTGCGGTTACACTTTGTTTTAAGGTGTCCTTGTTACAGTGTAATTATTTAAGTACTGAGAAATATTAATTGTACTTACTATATTGTTAGGGTTAGGATTTGGGTTTGGCTTGGGGTTACTTGCATGTAATTATGAATAATGTATTGTTATTATAATAGTAAGTGAATGTAACGTGTAACAAGGACACCTTAAAATAAAGTGTTACCGAACCTGCTTTCTCCTTCTTCCTCTTGTGTTTTCCAGTACCAAACGGTCCATCTGCTCCTCCTCCTCCTCCTCCTCCTCTCCCTGCTGTGGATATATCTGTCCCTATGCCCCCTCCACCGCCCCCCATGGCTCCTCCACTTCCAGGCTGCGGATCTCCCACCGTCATCATGAACTCAGGACTGGCAGGTAATGAAACCTGCTCGACACTAAAGACAAAACCATAACAGTCATGCACAAACTATGATACAGTATACCAAAACAGTGACATGAGAGGAGGAGAATCCCACTGATTTAGACCCAGATATGCCGCAAGCTTCTTAAGAAGCCTGAAGTATGCATTAGTTTGTGTTTAAAGTTCACGCATCAGTTGAGAACGGCTGCGGGTCTCTGGAGCCGCTGTCACACTGTCTCCTCTCTCTGATCGCTGATAACAATCCTCACAGATCAAGCGGTTTGTTAGGCTTCCTGTAAAAGGTTTAATGTCTGAACAAGCTCAAGTGAATCACTTCTGTTCTGCTGAAGCGCGAGTCATAATCTTTTTGACTGTACAGTATATCAGATTTAAAAAAAAACATCAGATGAAAAATAAATGGTAATTTTCTTAATCCGATTTCATCTTTATACAGTTTGCGTAAAGTTTTGTATTGATTTTAATGGAGCAAACATGGATGTCCATTGGACAAGAAGTAATAATTAGTGTTAGAAATAGATGGAGGCTCTCTGCAGACTCTAGAAATATTACAGAAATGTGCTCATAAAAACATTCTATGCAAATTCTAGCTATGCAAATTCTCAAATCTTGCAAGATTTACACTACCTTTGAAATAATTTCATAATATTCATTAAGTCTCTAATGCTCACCAAGGCTGTATTTATTTGATAAAAATACAGTAAAAAATAGTATTAATGTAAAAAAAAACTCTGAAATTTTAAAATAACATTTTAATATATTTTAAAATGCAATTTATTCCTGAATTTTCAGCATCATTACTCCAGTCTTCAGTGTCACATGATCTTTCAGAAATCATTCTAATATGCTAAAACATTTTTTTTATTATTATCAATGTTGATAACAGTTATGCTGCTTAATATTTTTCAGGAAACCATACATATTTTGTTCTTCAAGAAAAAAAAACTAGTTTTAATTAACTGCATTTTTTGCAACATTATAAATGCATTTTCTCTCACTTTTGATCAATTTAATGCATCCTTACTGAATAAAACACTCATTTATTTTAGAAAAAAATGTCTTACTGACCCTAAATGGTAGTCTACGTACATAGTGCAGAGTATACAGTAATCAGCAATGTGAGAAGGAAATCACAGTATCTGAGTATCACAGAGCATTTACAATAGTCCATATTATAGCTATTAATTTTTTCTTTCTTTAATCATTAATATTTTATTCAATAATACATTAAAAGATTGGGTTACACTTTGTTTTAAGGTGTCCTTGTTACAGTGTAATTATTTAAGTACTGAGAAATATTAATTGTACTTACTATATTGTTAGGGTTAGGATTTGGGTTTGGCTTGGGGTTACTTGCATGTAATTATGAATAATGTATTGTTATTATAATAGTAAGTGAATGTAACGTGTAACAAGGACACCTTAAAATAAAGTGTTACCGAACCTGCTTTCTCCTTCTTCCTCTTGTGTTTTCCAGTACCAAACGGTCCATCTGCTCCTCCTCCTCCTCCTCCTCCTCTCCCTGCTGTGGATATATCTGTCCCTATGCCCCCTCCACCGCCCCCCATGGCTCCTCCACTTCCAGGCTGCGGATCTCCCACCGTCATCATGAACTCAGGACTGGCAGGTAATGAAACCTGCTCGACACTAAAGACAAAACCATAACAGTCATGCACAAACTATCATACAGTATACCAAAACAGTGACATGAGAGGAGGAGAATCCCACTGATTTAGACCCAGATATGCCGCAAGCTTCTTAAGAAGCCTGAAGTATGCATTAGTTTGTGTTTAAAGTTCACGCATCAGTTGAGAACGGCTGCGGGTCTCTGGAGCCGCTGTCACACTGTCTCCTCTCTCTGATCGCTGATAACAATCCTCACAGATCAAGCGGTTTGTTAGGCTTCCTGTAAAAGGTTTAATGTCTGAACAAGCTCAAGTGAATCACTTCTGTTCTGCTGAAGCGCGAGTCATAATCTTTTTGACTGTACAGTATATCAGATTTAAAAAAAAACATCAGATGAAAAATAAATGGTAATTTTCTTAATCCGATTTCATCTTTATACAGTTTGCGTAAAGTTTTGTATTGATTTTAATGGAGCAAACATGGATGTCCATTGGACAAGAAGTAATAATTAGTGTTAGAAATAGATGGAGGCTCTCTGCAGACTCTAGAAATATTACAGAAATGTGCTCATAAAAACATTCTATGCAAATTCTAGCTATGCAAATTCTCAAATCTTGCAAGATTTACACTACCTTTGAAATAATTTCATAATATTCATTAAGTCTCTAATGCTCACCAAGGCTGTATTTATTTGATAAAAATACAGTAAAAAATAGTATTAATGTAAAAAAAAACTCTGAAATTTTAAAATAACATTTTAATATATTTTAAAATGCAATTTATTCCTGAATTTTCAGCATCATTACTCCAGTCTTCAGTGTCACATGATCTTTCAGAAATCATTCTAATATGCTAAAACATTTTTTTTATTATTATCAATGTTGATAACAGTTATGCTGCTTAATATTTTTCAGGAAACTAAACATATTTTGTTCTTCAAGAAAAAAAAACTAGTTTTAATTAACTGCATTTTTTGCAACATTATAAATGCATTTTCTCTCACTTTTGATCAATTTAATGCATCCTTACTGAATAAAACACTCATTTATTTTAGAAAAAAATGTCTTACTGACCCTAAATGGTAGTCTACGTACATAGTGCAGAGTATACAGTAAATTTGAACAGCTTTTTTATTCAAGCCTTCACTTATTATAAAAAGCTGTGTTTTACTCCACAGTTTGTTGGTAAGTAACTTCTCCCTCAAATTGATCTTTATCATTCCTTATGAAACAATCTGTATTCAGGGTTCAGTATTGCACACTGTAGGAAAAGGCCAATCAGATCTTTGGAATCAGAGGTTGTGTTTTGTTTGCTCTTTAACCGCGTCTTTCTCTCTACTTATGTTTGCTCTACCTGTTCTCCTCCATAGAGGGACCCATCAAACTGTACTGTAGGTTTGCCGTGTCATGTCGTGTGTGCTCAGTCTTATGTGTGTGTGGTCATGGTATTTTAGTCTCTAAGAAAACACACTCAGTTCCTCTGTAATCTTGATCTGACAATGACTATGAAGCTGCATTGCTGGTTGTTCCTCTTGAAACTGAGCATGGAATTGCACGCTGTTTTGCAGAACTTTTCCTTACCGTTTAAAAACCAGAGAGGAACATTCTTTAGACCTCGCTTACAGAGTTCAGCAAATAACAGGACTGTAATGCCAACCTATGAGACCACATGCTCCATAAGATGTAAGCTCTTATTTCTAAACTCCACAGTGGACAGAATCCCTCTTTCCAGAGCTCAAGCCATGAACCGCAACCTCATGGAAAACACAACTTCTTTTGTCATTAAGTTGCCATTAAGAACTGCAGAACTCCAGTCCAAGTGCAGTTTAATCTAGAACACAACTTATAACACGACACAAACCAACACGTTCTCACTCCACACTCGTCACATACTGACACTTGGTCAGGACCCCTTTAGCGTCATTTTTCGATGTGCAGGGTCCTCTGTTGCTTTAAATAAGAAACCCTTGGTGTCAGTTTTTGCAATAAATACCTGTGACTGCACTTATATTTGCCTGTTACGTGTTTTATATGGTTCAGAAGTGGGTAGGTTTAGTGTAGGTGCTCCGATGAAAGTATACATTTATATAAAATTATTTATATTTTTTACAAATGCATGCAAACCATTAAATTAAGACAAACAACTGAAAACAATGGAGGACCCTGCACGTCGAAAAGTGATGCTAAAGGGGTACTCTGAGCGTCAAAAAGCAAAGCGTCAATATGTGACGAGTTGGGAGTGAGAACGTGTTGCACAAATACATACTGTATACCTAGCATCACTGTTGTAGAGTAAAATGTGTTCTTCTACAGTTGCATCAGTACTCTGAAGGGCTGCACAATACTGTATACTGAAATAATAAAAAATGTGAAATGGCTTAGTACAATTATCACAGCCAAAATAAAAGCTTGATAGTAGGGCTGCGCGATTATGACAAAAATCATAATTGTCGATTATTACCTTGAAATTGTGATTATTAATTACGATTATCACAATTTACATTGAATGATGTTTATACCATTGTTTGATGCAACTGCATGCCGTATTTTTATATGAAAATACACAAGCTGAAAACACTCTTAACACAATTAAGATGTAAATATTAGTATTGTAATTTTACAGTTGTAGTATACAATTCATATTTTTATTAAATACAATTTTTTTTAATTTTACAGTACAATATAGTTACAAAGTTTTTTTCAATTTTGCTTAATATTTTTATATTCATATTATATATTATATAATAATCACAATTAAAAAATATTATTTTTTCCCCACACCGTTCAACCCTAAAAGCATCAGTCTTATAAAGTTTTATAAAGAGTTTTTTCTGACTTTTAATTTATTTTATACAGATGCATTCTAGAATCTAAAATGATCCCCCCCCCCTTTTTATTACGGAGTTATTCAAGTAATGTGGTGAAAATGACCTTTTTCACATCACAGTAAAACAAGTTTTAAATATTTTATGAGTCTGAAGAGAATCTTGCTGAGCCAGCTAGTTAGTTAAATGTTCATTTATAGTAATTTACCTGATTAATAGCAGTTAAGGGTGATTCTGTCGCCCCCTTGAGGACTAAAGCTTGTTACTGTCACAGTAACACAAAAAAATGAAGGATGGACAGCATTCACTTCTGTAGAATGTTTCTGACTTTAAGTCAGTCTTACAAATGCCAGAATGTCATTGCATTAATAATAAAACATGAAAGCAAGAGGCATTTGCCAAAAAAAAAAAGATTTCCTCAAAACTAACTTCACTTTTCTTAGCCGTTTATACAATTACTTTTAATCAACTTTTGTCAAATGACCACATTTAACATTTTTGTTGTCCCTTTATATAAATAAATGTACATCATAAGGCAGTAAGACTAAAAATGCCATGCCCGCTGTGTAAGTGTTTGATTGTGTTGTGTTTGCATGTTGAAACAGTGTGCCGTTACAGGCGAATGATCGTCAGATAAGGCCATAGTTGCGTAAATTCAGGAATGTTTTACACACACTGAGAGTTTATTCTCGTTTTTCTGGCCACACTCTCTGCATGGCCTGATATCACACCATCATATTACCCATAACCCTCAGCTCAACTGGAAACCACTCTCAGTCTCTTCGTAGCCTTTGATCAGAGATCAGTATTGTTGGATTTTGATTCAGCCTTAATCAAGCATTTTGCAATTTGTATTTGCTGTGTGTGCACTTTGGATGGGATAAATGCAGAGCACTAATTCTGAGTAAGGGTCACCACATGTCACGTCACACTTTAGAAGATCTGGCATCTCTCAAATCATCTCGGCCTCCCCCGGGTCCTAAAACCCGCTCAGTAAGGAGTTTTAATTCCGTAGGGGGCGCTGTTGGCCTACTTCTAATAAAATAAACGCAAAATACACAAATAATATTTAGACTGTGTTTCTGATTAAATAAAGCAGTAATTGATGCCATAAAATCATGAGTATGTTTTGATTTAAAGGTCAGAAGCTATAGCTTACATAAAAAAAAATCACAAACGTGACACTTAAATTAAATAATTTTGTATATACTGATTTATTAAAGCAATAAGCCCCAAGAAGCCATGGTTTACAGTGAATTTATAACAGCTAAGGGGCGTGTTAGGTACGACGCGAAGCACAAACCACGGCTTCACGGGGCTTATTGCTTTTATAAAACAGTTATTCCATAAGGTTTCACAAAATAAAACAGAGAGCAAGTGTAATGATATTAATAGAAACAGTATTCTTCCACCAAACAATGTAGTTCCTCAGAAACATGTGTGTGTGTGTGTGTGTGTGAGTGTGTGTGTGTGTGTGTGTGTGTGTGTGAGAGAGAGTCAGATTCAGTCATTAACTGGATTATTTTTGTGAAGTGTGAACCTGCATGAATGAAGGAATCCCAACATTTGACTCATTCTCATACTGAGACGCTGTTTGAGTCACATCCTCATAATGTAAACCCGAAAACAGCCATGAGCGTCTGTCTCATTGCCTAAACACACAGGGCAAACATATTGCTCAGACGCGCTCTTTCATAGTTTGCAATTAAGTTTTCAGTCACGTTTCATATATTTTCTCTAACCCCTTCTCCTAGTATTTATATAAATCAAAATAAACACAAATAAAACATAAGAATATGCATTCATAAATAGTTTTTTTTTCAACTGCTTACACACTAAATCTTTATTTGTCACACAGTTTCTGAAAGCTGACAGTCAAACAGCAGAAGCACACACCAAATCTGCAAAACCATATGCTGGTTCTCAGCCTTCCCTTACCAAAAAGTAGTATACTTCAAGTTTATTTTATTAAGTATACTTAAGTAAAGTTCAAGTATATTTTTAAGTATACTTTATGTAGTAAGTATACAAATATCAGTGTACTAGTAGTATACTTGTAAGTGTACTATTTCAATACTTATTGGGACTAAATTGGCCCACTTTCTAGTATATAAAAGTATACTTTAAGTATAACAGTAGTAAACGTTGAGTACACAACTAGTTTACATCAAAATGTTTAGTTTGTACTGCAACTATACTAAAAGTGAACTTATAGGTATACTGATAGTTTACTAATTAAACCCCTTAAATTCACTAAATTCACTGTAAACCACGGCTTCACGGGGCTTATTGCTTTTATAAAACAGTTATTCCATAAGGTTTCACAAAATAAAACAGAGAGCAAGTGTAATGATATTAATAGAAACAGTATTCTTCCACCAAACAATGTAGTTCCTCAGAAACAGTCGTGGTTGCAACAAAGTGGTTGCCAAGCAACACACAGAAGTAAACAAAGGTG